GTCAATACTCTCATCAGGGCTCACTAGGCTATAGGGAGAATCCACACTGAAATAGCTATAGAGGTATAACCAGAAAATGAGTACTTGGAAGCTCAAAAACAGCCTTTATATTCCTTTACATCTTCCACTGAACTATTCCTTATATGATGCAGTATGAAAATGCTGTGCTGATAATGTAGCTCTAGGAATGAACATGAACATTTTAGGCCTCACATATATCTATTTTTCACTGCTAGAGATTCACAGGAGGTCTATAAAAACAAAAATCTTACAGCAACAGTGCTCTTTGGCTCATAGCTATCCTTATTTAACTGATGTGATTAACTGAGGCAGAAAGATATTGAACTTTTTGTCCAAGGTCACACAGTGAGGTCAGGAATGGAGCTAAAGCAGACTCCAGCTCTTTCAGCTCACTGCTTTGTTTTAAACCATCTAATCTCCCTTTCAGCTCTTTCATGCAAAAGTCCAAACGACTTGATACACTGTTACACAAAAAGGTGCAAATCCCCAGTGTAAAAAGAATGCAGGTTAGGATTTAAAGCAAGCATATGAAAATCCCCTTTCAGTCCACAGGATGCAGAAATATTGCAGCACATCCCATCACTTTAATAGTATTTCACAATAGAAGGGACTTGAGTCACGTTTAGCGTACTGCCAATGCCAAGTAAAAGCTCTTAGGAATACTAAAATTTATGCAGTCAGCCAGGAACATGTAGCTGATGTAGACTCTTGGAATAATGTATTATAACCAACTTTTAAATTTGCATATGAACAAAAAAAAACCAAAAAAAAAAAACCACCCCAAACAAAAAACACCACCTTAATTTCTACAGCATTTTCCAAGTGTTTTATGAATACTAAGTAAGCATCTTGACAACTCCATGACAAAATGGTACCAAGCAGTTATTTCAATATAGAAGCTGCACAAAGATGTGAAAACTAAAGCTGTAGCTTCAGACCTAAGTAATAACAAAAAGTCTCCAACTGCTCCAGCAGCCAAAACTGTACAAACATTGTGAAATGAAATATCAATGCCAGCAAACTCAAGTGGTGACAGGATTCCCCGGCCACCTTCCCCTTGTTCCAAGGTTTTCCATTACCGATTTTACATCCTGGTCCATGTTAAAGCAAGCCAAATCAATGCAGAATAGGTTGTTTTCTTTTTCTTCCTTACTGAACTTAAAAAAGCTTTCTTCATAATACACACTGTGCTGCATTTATCCCTACCCCTCCAAGCATTTTAATTTCTTTACAACAAAGGAGAAACACAACTTCATTTCTGTCAGACTTTGGTCCAGTTAGTAACTTTTACCTCCAAGTAATAGTGTGTACTGAAAGTTGAAAAGACACATGTTCTGTAAGAATCAGATTTAATTAATTTTTTAAGTCCTCTTCCTAGCTTTCTAGAACAGTTACCTCTTTACCATAGGTAAATTATTTTAATTATTTTTTCTTTCATTTTTTTCCTTTCATTTCAACTGCACCAGTAGAAACAGAGTGAAATAGCACCCAGCAAAAAATGTGTAATTTAAGAACCTGCATAGCAAGATTTGATAGTGTATTTTAAAAAAGGGCTTAAGTGATCCAGACACACCATGGAAATCAGTGGGACCTGAAGTCATTTCATAAACGCCATTCTTATTTGTAATTTAAATATCTCAACAAAAGTTCTCAGCTGCTCATATGATGTCAGCATTTCAAACCTTATAGTTTTGTGTGCATAGCTGAGTCTGAGGATGCCTCCCCTCTCTGAAAAGCTGCAGTCTTGTGTGACATTCAGAGACCTTTTTAAACAGCTCTTATTAACATTGCAAATAAACATTTTCAAGATGGGCATCAGTATGACTGGTGGCCTTTTATAGGGGTGCTGCAAAAATAAGTGAAGAGTAAACAGCTGTTTATTACAGCAGATGTGGAGAAAACCTTCCACTTCCAAGGGCCATATATTAGCGACAGAGGCAAACCAGGACAGAGAAGAAGGGGCAGAGCAGGACACCAAGAGCAAGGCATACAAGGAGTCTGGGACCTGACTGGAGAGTGCAACTGGAAGACAAGAACAAGCATCACGACTGGACTACAGAAGGGCCTGAGGTGAGACCACCAATGACACAAAAGAATGAGCTGCATTCCAGCAGTTGAAGGCACGCATGATTGAAGAGGCTGACAGCTCACCAAGAGTAGAGTCAGCCAGGCAGACACTCAGCAGAAAAGTGCCAGCATACAAGAAGGATGCAAGGAGCAGCAAGATCTGCAGAAAGGCATATATCCTACTGCATGTACTATCTACTGGGGACAAATGTTCCACAAGCCAGAAATCTGCCACACTGAGCCCTTCAATCAGACCACAGTAATTTTGGGAGTGAGCACGTTCAGCACAGCTCTTTCCAGAGAAGTATCTTTATCCCACCACCTGCTTTCCAGGTCCAATAGAGCTCTTCACACATGACTACAAAGAAGCTCAAACCAGGTTTTTGTTTAGTTGTCTTCCCTACTACCACAGAGGAGGTTTTAATAAAGTATTTATAAATTTCTTTATAATGAAGGGCATTTTTGGCAGAGAACTTTATCGACCTGCAGTGCTAACAAACTATTACCCACTTATAGAAAATAGCTCAGAGTTCCAGTTCATTTTTGGCATTATACACTTGTTATAAATTGTTATCTTATTAAAGTCTAATCCTCAAAATAGAAGAATTCTAATTCTTTCCTCAGCCCTAAACATCCTGCAAAACCAAGAACAGACTGAAAGGCCTGTTAACATTCACAGCCAGTTTAGAAATCTGATGTGCCACAGAGTAATTATTACATTTGTTATGGAATTAAGATATAACTAACAGAACAGGTGATGGCAAAGATTCATTATATAAGTCAAATTCCAACACCTTCACTCACTTCAGATAGCACTTTGCCTTGAAAGCAATGACAGTGATTTCAATGGCAGATAATGTACTCTTCAACAGGAGCCAAAGTGACCCAAATGGGTCCATTTTTGTAGTGAACTTGGTCTTCTCCTGTGTTTTTGAACAGACTGGACACACATCAGAATCTAGCATACGTAAACAGACAAGATATAAAGAGATCCAGATCTCTTAACGGCAGTGCACTATTTGCAAGACACTTAGATGCTTCTTAACTACTAGAATATCCATCAAGTCCAAATTATCTTCATGGTCTGCATATATCCGCTTTCAGTAATGAAACTGCTGTTATGGTTTCTGCTACTCCTATTTTAGACAAAATTGTAACCACCTCCTATCGTAACCACAAAGTGCAGGTGTGAGCTTCTCTGGCAATTCCAGTTGGGAATGACAAAAGCCAAGATACCTTAACCTCTTTATCCTCATGGACAAGCTACAAACTATCTGAAGAGACAGATTAATTTCAGGCAATGACTAGTCTTGAGAGCATCTGCAGTTACTGTACATAGGCTTTATGTGCTTGGAGAATCAATTAATTTGCAATTTTTGCAGAAAGCAGTGCACAGAAATATAACACAGCTGCCTGTATTCCAAATGTATCATTAGTGAAACTGCTCTGAAGTCAGTCCAAACTTACAGCCTGTGCTTCCACTAGAAGCAGGCAGACACTCATTTTCACTTCACAAGTCAGACATTAAACCATTACCAGGGAAACACAAACAGCATCACTAGGTCACTGAGGAGCAAGAGATCTGGGAGACAGGAAATTAGTTCCCTCCTCTGTGGTTTTCTTTTGTTACCCAGAAAAGCCATCAGTTTATACATCCCTCAGTTCCTCAGCTCATCGACAGCTGCTTACACACATTGTATAGTTATTACAGTTTTTCATGTAAGTAAGGAAAACCAACGAAACTCCCCTTATACAGGAACAATTGTCTTTCATAAATAAAAGCCACCGTGATGTTTGCAAACATAGGTTGATTTTAATGCATCAGGTATTAAACAAGCAGACATATGAAAAATACGTAATAGGCCCAAATAAAATGACTGCATCTTTGAATGTTTTAAAGACCAGTAACCTTAAACATGGAATTTGAAATGAAACTGAAACCACTATATTGTGTACATTACTACTGACATACCATCCTATAGTTAAAACTAAGTCAGATAAATGGCTTATGCTCTGTTTACAAGATGCTAACCCAGGAGAGAAATATTTGAATGTTACCAAACAGAAAAGGCAATAAAGGTTTGGATAATGCCTTTAACCTGTGCTTTCTATAATGAAAACTCTGAATCTGAAGAAAAACATATCCTGAATAATTTGTTCTCCCCTTCAAACATTCATCTGTGTGATTATTTTCCAAGAAGATTGGTGACTTTCCTCAAGTCTGCAATAAAACATTAAATCATAACAAGAAAAACATACAAACCCTGACTTCACTGCCTGCAAATTGCCTTTCACCTCATTGCTCTTGTGCATAGATCAGGCTTCACTGTTTAACAGAAATCTGCAAACTTTTTGAGACAGTACTTATGCCTGTCTTCAAATTGCACACAGTATTTACAGATATGTAATTATACACCTCAAGAAATGAAAAATAAAAGCTAGAAGCAAACAGGTAAGAGAACTTTGACACACTTTTTTGTTTGCTTCCTTTTAAAAATCAAAGGAACCTATTCTCCTTTCAGTTTCATCCTAGGAGAATGCCACAGACTGCAGTAAATTAACATGTGATCACACTAGCATCCACAAGAAATAACTGCTCATTCCAGGGCTCTGAAGCTTTGCATTCTTATATTTGTGAATCCTTTAACAGATATTTTTGCCTAGATAGCTTTCCTTTCACATAAATGTCATCACAGTATTTTATAATTTGGTTTAGGTAAGATCAGAAAGGTTGCTAAAGTATTTGCAAATTGGTCCACCAAGGTCAGTGTCTGACCTCGTATAATAATGTAATACTGACATGTTCCTAATGAAAGCAGCAGGCATGTGGCAGCCATACCACATTTTGACACTTTAATTCACTTAGAACATCAATTTTTTATGCATTATTTATCACTCAAGAAAGTACTTACAGGGTCAGTAGGACCACAGAAGTCTCTGAACACTTTTGAAGGATCGAATTGTCTAATCTCCATTGCTATGCAGGGGCCTGAACACAATTCTGAAATCATCTCCTGGAAGAGAAAGCAGATGGAAAAAAGTTGAACACTTTGGGTTTCAGCAAGGGTTGCATTTCTCCCCAAAACAAGGCCCAAATTTATAGGAAAGGAACAATTAAGAAGTATGCATTTAGGAAAGTGAGGACACTAAACAGATACCATTGGTTTTCACCACAAAAGAAATGTTTTCCAATTTGCTACTTGGTTTAGAAGGAGGAAATTGAGAAAAATTGGATATTCAGCTTCAACAGGATTCTGAATAGCACATAACACCAACCACAATACTTTAAATTCTTTTGTAGGTACATCCTCATTGATCTGGACCTATATTCCATGGCAGTAACTTGTCAAACTAGACTGAATCACTGGAATGCACTTTGCTGGGTTTTAAACCTGAAAAATCATGCTATGTTCAGCCAGTTCCACAGGCAGCAATGTTCCCTGCCAGAAGCACAGTACACAGCCTATATCTGTTTTCAAATATACACTCACTCAATGGCTTTAAGTCATTAAAATGTCTCCTGGGCTTTTGGTTCTCTCTATCTTTTCCTCACAGATTACTACAGGAGCTGAAACACACAAACCAACAGAATCCGTGCCTGTGGCACAACCTGTTAGGGAAAGGGTCTGGCAACATTCTTGTGATGTACTAATATCAGGATCTCAGTTACAGTGAAATCATCTGTTTCCCTGGAGTCTCCAGAAGAGTAAAGAGACATCGTGAGTTCTGTGTGGGTGATGAAGATTGGTCTTAGTTTTCATAAGCTTAAATTAACTCTGGGCATTAGTGCCAATTTGGAGTTTGTTAATTAGAGGTATAGGTTTCACAAGCAGAAAGAATCTATTTTGATGTTCCAGTCTGACTTTCTTTTTTAAATCATGCCCTTATAATTGCATACTTGTCTAGAAATCTGGACAGACAAGTTTTAAACAAATCAAGACAATTAAAGGAATCAAAACCAATGAGGGAAGACAAAACAGAAAGTAAGCGAGGATAGGTAAGGACTAGCAAGGCTCTGCAATCATGCCCATCAGCCACAGGCAGATCAAAGATGAGCCATGGCAAAGCATACAGAGTGATGAAAGAGCAGAAGGAAAATAACAACTAAGTCCTTCTCGTCCTTCTATGAATCATGACAGAAAATAAATACACAATGACTCTGAGTCAAGCAGCACTGTTCCAAAAGCTGCTATCCCCATACTAGATTCCATACTGAGAACGTGTGCCTAAGCTCCCCTCTCTGAATTTTGTCTGGTGCCTCTATCATCAACCAGATCCTAGGAAATTTAGGTAGAAGTATTCATTAAGGACATGAAAAGAGTGCAGACTAGCTTCATGCTCTACAACATAAATAAATATTTTAATTGCAAAAACTGTTTCATCACCAACAGATCCTCTGTTCAAAACAGGTCAAAAGCCCATGTATTTCATTCTGCTAAGAAACAGTAAACAGTTTCTTCCTCTTTTAATTGTTTCTGTCTCAGCACAAACATCCCACCAGCAACAGTGAACAACATGACTGAAGTTACTCCTGACTCCTTCATTACTGCACACAGCTGAAGACCTGAAGACCAGCTGCCACCAGGTACAGCACAGAGGCAGGTGATTCTGTGTCAGACAAGCCTGATCTACTTACGCAGCATCATCAAGTCCAAAGCTGAGTCTAAATAGCAGACAGCACTTGTCTGGTGAGGATCCCAGTCACAGATACATCAAATTTTCGCTGGCAAATAATTTATTCATCAAATAGCATGGTTTGTCTGGTCAGCCAGAACCATTCCGGAAGGTGCATCAAGCGCAAGGATTTTTGATTAACAAAGTGAATTCTGAGCTGAAATAATCTCACTTCTTTTCCCCCATTTTCTATTCTGGCGAGAGTACGAAATACAAAGCAAAACAGCAGAAAAACTAAGCAACAATATGTAAAATCCCATGTAGGAGATACTAACAAAGCTAAAATTTTGGGCAATTGTACAGCTTTCTCTTTTCACAGAATACTTTATATACAATGTCAAACCTTTATCTGACTGACAAAAAATAACCAGAAGAAACGGAACTACAGTTTTTTAAAAGGATTTCTGGATGCTAGTATCTTCTCTGCTGAGTTATTTTTGGAATGATAAATAAAATTTAGATCAAAACAGATGTTCTGAGTCACATACAGAATTGGTCATATTCTTTTTCCAATATCCTGTTTTGTAACACACTTTCCTATTTGGACTGCACCAGCAATATCCATTGCTGTTCCTATGTGTGCCTTCTCTAGAACCCTTTACCATCATGATTAGCTTTTCTGTTTTCTGCTTTTTAGATATTGAGTGCATGAAAATATTAATTTTATTTCTTTTCAACTGAGTCAATCCAACAATATAACTTCCAGGACAGAGCCCCAGATTCTCACTTTTCTTGACATCACCTACAACGCATTTTATTTATTGACTTACCTTGTTTAAATGTCAACTTCCCTTCTGAGTAACTCTCCAATTAAATTATATAACTAAAATTTGCAACTTGTTAGAGGGTTAGAGATTTCCCATTTTGTTCAAAGCAGAGACTTTTGCAGCACTACAGGACTCCCCAGACCCTGAAATACTGGTCAGATACTTCAATTTTTAAATTCTGCCACATACCCACAAGTATGCCTGTCCAATCCCCCTTTGGTACTTGTCAAAAATGATTTTCAGAGGAGGCTTTATGAGTATCCCCCAATCTGAGAGTGAACAGCACTTCTAACCTATTTAAAGACAAATCTACAAACCCCGTTGAAATTAGTTAGCCTGAACGATCATAAAGGAGGAAGAAAAAAAATCATTTTCAGAGTAATATTAGTAAATATGTAGAAAACTTACAATAATGTAACCATTTAAAATTTAAGGATAATTTGCAACATAATAGCATGGCAGTGAAGCTAAACTCATTACTATGAGCAAATTACACAGTAAAGTAAAAATTACTATGAGTAAAAGGAACCAAAATCCTCTGAGACAAGGTGATCCAGAAATACAAACTCATCTTCTTGTATTCCCATTGTTCTATCTGCAGTCAGGAAGTTTTACGTGACAGTACAAGAAAGCATAATACTATAGAGAGCCTCAGATGTCCACTGGGATTACAGCATATCTCAAACTTCTTAATTTTTCTGAATATTTACGGAAGTCACATAAATAAACCAAAGAATAGTTCAAGATGTCATTACGAAAGCCTCCAACACAGCAGCCTCATTGTAAATAAAATTAATATGTATTTTGGTCCAAGCCACTGTTACAACATCCAACCAAAGAAAGACGCAGGTGTGATACATTCTCATAGCTCAACATCAATAAAATAACTTTTCTGGGGGAAGCCGGAGACATGTCTCTGTTGTATTTTACAAATTCCTCGACTGAACAATTTTCATGTAAGGCTCTCCTTGATTATGACACACATAACACAATTCTCACAATGAATTAATTTATTTGAGAACAGACTAGAACTGTACAATACCAGGTTCATAAAAGAAACCACATCACAATCCCAAGCAATAAGAAATGTGGTAATTTCCTCACTTGAGCATATTTTATTTTTAAACAGATTCCTGTTAAACTTATGCTTACCAGGTATTCAGGGACAACGCCTTTGTAAATCTCATAAAATTCTTCCACATTTGGACGCTCCATGTTGAACTAAAAAAACCAAAACGTTAGCCAGTCTATATTAAACAAAAACAGGAATACAAAGACACCCATTCTTAACCAGCAAACATTCAGAATCGTCTAACTTTTACTAGGTAAAAGGAATGGCTTTAATATTGCAATATGAAGCTTGTCAGCAACTTAGTGATGGCACAAGCAACATAGCACACAGTATCTTTTTCCACATCAAATACAAGCAGACAATGCAATGTTGGCTGATCCCACTAAGAAAGGGACTATTCTTCATTTGTGATAGAAATTGAGTGACAGAAGAATGTCAGATCTTGAGACTCTCACCACAACTGAAGGGCAGAACTCTTGGGAACAATCTCTGTGCCAAATCCCTTTAACTGCTGAGGGTATTCAGGGTGTCAAAACCCCTCAAGTACCTTTAAAAGCATTCCCCATAATTCATACTAAATATATATTTTTAAAAAAATTAAGGAAGGATATTAACAATAGTTTAATTAATCTTAGCTAGTACATTTCAAAAAGATATCTCAAATTGCTCCAGAAAAGGCGAATATAATTACCTCCCTGCTAACTACAGGGAAACTCAGATACAGGGAAGTGAAGTATCTTGGCTCAAGGTCACCAAGCAAACAGAAACAGATTAGCTGATCAGCCAGATACTAAAACACAAATATCACAAGGACAATGCTGATCCCAAAACACTGCTACAGCCTACACAAGAGTTTTATACTGCAGGAAGACACCTGTGCACAGCTATGACGTGCATACAGCACTACTCCAACTTCTGTTTATCATAGAAACACACAAAAGGAAACCTACCATCTGCAAAGCTGAGATCTCAAATCCTTCCTTGAGGATGGCTTTTATAATCTTTCCAGAAAGCCCTGAGGAAACATGGAAAATACAGCACTCAATTTCAAAAAGCAGATTTTACTACTGAAAGGTATTATGCCAATATACTGCTTATTCCCAAACTGAAAAAACAGTGTTTGTGTAATGCTTGAGAGGAAGAAGAGAACAGAGTTGAGTTCACACTGTGTTCTCTATGAGCTTACATGTTGATGGCTTCAAATAATTAAACTCCATGCAGGTGTTGAAAAGCATTTCTATTAAAAAAGGTAATTAGTGAAGGCTTTGCTTTTCTCAGATCAACTGCAAGACACCCAGTTGCTGCAAGACCAAGATTTAGATTTTTAATGAAGACCCTGGCAATACTGACGCTTAATCAGTCACCAATTCAGAGCATCATCTGTCTTTTTCTTTTTGCAGGTCCTACTTTAAGCCAGAAACAATGCAGGATGATAACAAATGTTGCCAGTAAACTAGCACAGGAGCTCATGTCTGCGATGGGAAAATCACATTGGTGCAAAATAACCTATTCCTTCTAAGTTTACAGCTCACAAATATGCTATTGCTGATGATACTGTTGCTTATTCTCTCCAGAACACATCCTAAAGACTGAATGATGTTGTAAAACAAAACATGGAACTTCAGAAAACAAGAACCACTGATTTTCCATCGAATGTATATTTTAGATTTGCCCATGCTTATAAGATCAGGCCATTTTGAAGATTATGTCAGCCAAGCACATTACTCTGTGTGAGTGAATTTCAGAGAATTTCTGGACATTTATCTAGAAAAGACTTAATCACAGAAAAATACCCTGTAACAAATGACAACGGCAGGATGTGACTCCTGGTCATCAGATCCTTTTATTAAGTAGTCTTTAAATTGCAGGATATTTAGTGCTGCATACATTTAGGAGATGAGAATAAAACAAAGATAGTATGGAAGTTATAGCATGCTTGAGATACAGCCTTCTAATACCTGTGGCATAGGACTGGGGAGCTTCCCTCCACATCAAAAGGTCAGTGGAAGCTCTGAGCAAACGAGACTGAGGGTTGAAAGGCTTTCAAAAATTGTATTTACAAATGAATATGAAAAAAATCCATGTCTCAAGTATTTTCTATCACATTTTCACACTAAGGTTTGTGTAGAAAAGCCTTCCCTCTACAAAATATTGCATATTTCTTCCAAAAATCTTCCAGCTACTGAAGGGAATACCTGAGATTTCAGTACATGCAGCTCTTTCTATGTTTATAGAACATAGAAACGAGCAGAGGCAAATACAATTCCTATCCCACTATATGTTCCACCACGTTTTGGTAAAAGTTTCCTTTTAACACTACTGTGAACCCAAAGGAAAAAAAAATCCCCCTTTTTTAAGATTAAAAAAAAAAAAATTGCAACCACAAAATGAAGGGACTTGGACAGGTTTGCCCAGGAAATGCAAGACCACATCAGAGAGAGAACCCAGAGCTCTGGTTTCTTTTTGTCCACCCTGCTGGAAAGGCTGAGCATCTCATATGCTTCCACACAGATTCCACTGAGGCAGTGAGCCTTCACTCTTGTTTTCAGAGATGAATGGGCAGTTTGTAAAGAGATCAAGTGACTGGCTGGGAATCATTCACGAAATGAATAAACAAATTGAATAAATAAATGCATTTAATTAATTAACTAATTTAATTAACTAATTAAATATGTGACACAGCATAAACATTTCCTCATTCTCAATCTTCAAAGACAACACTCTGGTCAACTGCTTCACTAGAAACCAGCAAAGATGAAGAAAGGGCACTGGCAGATAAATGGTCACTGTCACTTGCAGGGAAAAAGCTATGAGAAAGGTAAGGGATGGCTGCTTTGCCTGACAGATATCCATTTCACACTTTATCAGTCAAGAATGGGCTACTTGCATAGGCACTCTAAGCCAGCAAGGATCTAATTAAAATACATCAAGTTATGGGGTACTATGGAGAATCTGCTTTTTACAGAACTTTTGTCTTCAGCAGTTTTACATGCTACAAATAAAATCCATGTTTTAGAGAAGCAAAAGCCCAGCTTTCTGGGCTGTTTCTCTACTGAAGTCACTAAGACCTATCTCTTGTGTAGAGAGGAGATAGGAGACTTTAAGATTAAAGACCTTTGCATAAAGGTGTTTAATGCAAGGTTTCGTTAATAATTGTGATAAATCTCTCAAGATTTTCCTCTACACTATATTTCTGAGTTCACTCTCACTCATCAGAGCAGCAGAGCACTTCATTGCTCCAGAGAAATTGCCTATGTCTGCAACATCCAAAATGCTTAACCAAAGGACTTGTCAGCATTCAGACAGAAAGACACCTCATCCACAAAATTCAAAGTGCCTTGAGGAAGAAGGGCCATGAGGTTTCATTTATGTTTGCAAAGCAGGATGTTAGCTCCACTTCCAAGATATGGAAATTGAGGCAGAGGAGCATAAGCAAGTTGCCAGTGGCAGCACCGATCCACAGATCCAGTGATTTGCCCTCCCTTGTCCCAGTTTGGGCAATCCATGTATCATTCCTCCTAGGGACACTTTGCTTTCCATTTGCCTTTCAAATTCTACCTGAACCAAAATAGAAACAAAAAGCACAAAGGCAATCCCCAAGCAACAGATAATGTAAGCTCAAGGCTCAGCTTGGGATCTGTCTGAAGCTTTCAGCCAGCTGCATGACTGAACTGGGACATATCCTCTTCTTTGGGAGCAGATAAGGCTCAGGAAAATATGAGCTAATTAGAGTGCCATTTCAGCAGCTTTCAACAGTTCTTTTCAACTTTAAAATCCAAATCTGTAGTGAAAAAACAACTTTCTAAGGACCCTTCAAAAAGGGTCAGTGAATATTTAAAATGTAATTACAGTAAGAACACAAATCAAAGCCACAGATTAGGCACCAGTTATGATGAATTTTCAGTCTTAAAGTACAAAAGAATCCCAAGCATTACTAAATACAACTGAGGGAATTTAACACTAATCCAAGCACAAAGAGTGAAAGAAAGGGAGCACGAGCACACATTTTTTGTCTGCTGGGCAGCATTATATTACTACATACCTAGTACAGGACATAATTTTCCAATATAGACAGAAATAATTTTCCAATATATTTTAATCAGGTAAAATGATAAAGTACCAAGACTTCCTCAGTACACTGATATTATACCTTTGTTGCTTTACAACATACAGTATTTGAAAATTGTCCTCAATTAAGAAACAGAAAGTAGCAGGGAAGACACCAGACTGAAAAATGTTACCACTGTTTGCAGAATTATGCATTGGGATAAAATGAAACAGTTTAATGCAAGTCACTTTTAACTTTAATCAATGAGCCACAGCAGCTGTGCTACTGGGACCTTTCAGTCCCTGTACACTATGAACCATCACCCCTAGGAGTAGGAATGTTTCATTGTCTTCCTTTTCTTCTTGACCTGTTTCCTAATTTAACCATTCCTCTGTTAAAAGCTCATTAGGCAAGATAGCAGACTGCTCTCAAAGAAAGGCAAGAACTAGATTCCTCATCTCAGCCTTCATATGTAATTTTTTAAAATCCTTCCAATAATTAAAAATAATTCCTCTTAAACATCAGGGGGTTTTTGACAGGAATACAAAAACTGCCATGGCTGATCAGATTGATGATCCACCTCATCCAGTAACATATTTCTAAAAGTAACCTGTACTGGGTGCTTAACGTATCAGTAACTATAAGTAGCAATTTAATTTCATGTCTTTTTCTGACATTTTAAAATGCAATTTTGCTTCATAGTATAATCAAAAAATCTGATTCTTTCCTGCCAAGTGGTAAAGTCCTATTTCAAAACTCCAGAGAACCACAATCAGGCTTGACTCCAAGCAAAGTCCTTTTTGAACTCTAGAAGATAGAAAAGTGGGATTTAGAGTTGGGCCCTCCTGCAATGTATTTCAGTTGAAGTTCTTGCTAATCTTCGTTTCAGACAACATTGAAAAACACTGGTCAGTAAGTAAATGACAAATGTCCTCTCAAAAAGTGTACTTCTTCCTGTCAGTTGGTCAACCTATACCCTGAAGAACAAGGTTTCTCTCTTCTTCTTTTTCTACTTAGGAATAACATAACTCTACGCATTTTTACTATGCGGCATAAATACACCATTTCTAGACTCCCCAAAAGTTTGGTCATGGTAATAATCTATAATTATTGGTATCCCAGCCCCACTGTGTACTGTGTGAAAAAGGATATACAGTCAATTTGCACCTGTGCTCTGGCACACCAGGGAATGACAGAGGGTCTCCTGAGATGCAACAAAGGAGAGGGGGACCTCAAAAGCCACCCAGGCTAGTGATGAGGAGGGAAAGAAAAGACCAGTGGATACAGATGGGAGAGAGAGGAGCTTGTGAGAAAATGCTGAGAGAATATTGTTCATAGTGATAGAGTCCAGGATTTTCCATTATCCCTCATTTCTGTCTAGGTACTATATTAAAGGAGAACCTCAAGAAGTTTGAAGGGCAGTTTTACAGACATTTATGGAGAACTTTGTCAACACTGCAGCACTGGTAAAAACCTTTACAGAAAATATTCTTTGAAAATACTAAAAATTAAAGGAGTAAAAACAAAGATATCACCATGGCCTTACTGGAAAATAGAAGTCAGGATACTGCTAGCACAAGAAAAATTATGCATGCAGATATTAAATCTCAGGGGGCCTTGAAACCAAAACGACCAAGTGTGTGACACAGCTGAGAATGGGAACTGACACATTCAAAGGAGGCGGAAGGTTCAAAGGCTTAATTTTAGCTGAAACTTTCTGAACTGCTATGAACAAGGCAAGACCACACATGTGAATGCCAAACAGGGCATTATAAGATGCAAAATGATGAAAATCCATAGGGGAAAAAAGGTATTCTGGCAACTCTTGCATGGGAACAGATGGGAAGAGTCACACCTTTCAGATACAAAGGCAAATAGAGAAATCTAAGGCAAAGATCAGAGCCAGACTACACAAAGTATCCAGCAATTTGGGTGGGCAGTGTGAGCCATTGGAGAAGAAAATTTGA